CAGCGAGCTGTAATTTAGTGTGGACATAGGCGGGAGCAATCAATCCGTCAACAATGGTATCCCGAACAAAATGACAATCGACTTCAATATGTTTCGTACGCTCGTGAAATACCGGATTTTTTGCAAGATAAATGGCAGATTCACTGTCATAATATAGAGTGACAGGTTTGGGATGTGGAATTCCTAAGCTGGTTAATAACCCTTTAAGCCACTTCACTTCAGAGGTAATGGCTGCCATTGATCGATATTCCGCTTCAGCAGAGGAACGAGAGACGGTTGTCTGCTTCTTTGTCTTCCAAGAAATTGGAGATCCACCTAGGTATACGATCCACCCAGATAGGGATCGTCTAGTGATGGGACAAGCCGCCCAATCCGAGTCACACCATCCTGTTAGAAGCAAATTAGTAGCACTTTTCAACAAAATACCTTGGCCTGGAGTACCTTTTAAGTAACGGACCACCCGTAATGCAGCCTCCCAATGTTCGACTCGAGGACACTGCATAAACTGGGACAAGATGTGAACCGAGTAGGCAAGATCAGGCCGTGTAACAGCTAAGTAAATCAGTCTACCAACCAGTCGTCGGTAAGGTTCCGGGTCGGACAAGTGTGCACCTGTGGCTAACCCCAATCGATGATTTTGTTGAATAGGAAACGCGGAGGGTTTAGATCCTAACAAACCTGTTTCGGTTACAATGTCCAGGGTGTATTTTCGCTGACACAAAAAAAGACCAGATGGATTGCGAGCCACCTCAATGCCGAGAAAATACTTTAAAGGTCCAAGATCTTTCATTTTGAAACAGCCACACAAATATTGTTTAAACCGTCGAATTGCATCAGGTTGATTGCCAGATATGATCAAATCATCAACATATACAAGCATGTGAATACGTATTTCACCATGAACATAAGTAAACAAGGAGTAATCTGAATAGGATTGTCGAAATCCATAGTTCTTGAGAGCCATAGCCAGCTTTGCAAACCAACATCGTGGGGCTTGCTTGATGCCGTATAAGGACTTGCGAAGACGACAAACGAGATTGGGGTTGGAAGGTTTGAAACCTGGTGGTGGTTTCATATAAACCTCCTCACGGAGATCACCGTGTAGAAATGCATTGTGTACATCCATTTGATGCAGCTCCCAATTTTTAGAAGCCGCGACAGCGAGGAAAACACGAACAGTGGTCATTTTGGCCACAGGAGCAAAAGTTTCGGTGTAATCGACACCTGCTTCTTGGTGATTACCGTAGACTACTAGACGAGATTTGAGTCGTTCAACCTCCCCATTTGACAAGTACTTTATTTTATACACCCACTGGCTACCTAATGCCTTTTTTCCAGCAGCCAACGGTTCGAGTGTCCAAGTACCATTGTCTTCTAGAGCACGAATTTCTTTGTGCATGGAAGCTTTCCAACCTTCATGTTTGATGGCTTCCTTGAAGGATCTTGGTTTTGTTCCCGTGGTAACGGCTGCAATAAAGTTTTGATATCTAGGAGAAAAATTATCACAGTTTATATAGTGTGTAATAGGATAAGGCTTACCGGAAGACTGTGGAAGAGGTGTAGCGAGGGACGGACTTTGGACAGTAGTAGTATGAGTGACAAAATCTTTTAGTAAAACTGAAGTGAATTTCTCTCTCTGGCCGCGACCCATTTGTGGTGTAGAATCAGGTTGCGGATCTGGTGCAAGATCTGGATGAGCCGATGAGTTAGGAGTTTGTTGTTCATGGCCTTGTTGTACATAGGCTGGTTGTTCATCATCAATGAGGATGTCATGGTAGGATGGGCTCCTTTCGGCCATAGTAGCATCTTCATTGTTTGCTATATCTTGCATATCTACATATGGAAAGATGTCTTCGAAGAACTTAACATCACGAGAAACAAAGAATTCCCGAGTATCTAAATCAAATAATTTCCATCCTTTCTTTCCAAATGGGTATCCCACAAAGATACACTTCCTACTTCGACTACTAAATTTGTCCCTCTTGGCTTGCTGGTTATATGCGAAACAGAGACACCCAAATGTTTTAAGAGTGTCATAAGAGGGCAAAGTGGCATATAAAACCTCATAAGGAGTTTGTGAATGTAAGATGGTAGATGGGGTTCGGTTGATCAAGTGGGCAGCACAAAGAACCGCTTCCCCCCAAAAATAAGTGGGTAACTTAGCTTGAAACAATAATGCTCTAGCCACATTTAAAAGGTGCCTATGTTTTCTTTCCACTCGTCCATTTTGTTGAGGGGTACCAACACAAGATGTTTGAAAAATAATGCCAACATTGGAAAAATAGCTAAGTAAACAATTAAATTCTGTTCCATTATCGCTTTGGACAATTTTAATTTTTTGAGAAAATTGTCTTTCAATCATTGAAACAAAAGACATGAACATTGAAAAAACTTCTGTTTTATCATTTAGCAAATAAACCCAAACCGCACGTGAAAAATCATCCACTAATGTCAAAAAATAACGAGCACCACAAGAAGAAGAAGTTTTGTAAGGACCCCACAAATCACAGTGTACCTTTTCAAATATCCTAATTGTTTTATTCTCACTCAACTGAAAGCTATCTCTAGTTTGCTTGGCTTGAAAACATACTTCGCAAGCATTATTTAAACTACCCTTACTGTTACTACTACCAACCGGGGAAAGCATCTTTATCACCTTCTCAGATGGATGTCCCATTCTCTTATGCCAAAGTTCCATGGTTGATACTGCCCCATTGACTGACACATGAAGTATAGAATCACCCTTCTTGAAGTAGTAAAGTCCGTCCCGTCTAACACCCATTCCAATCAGCTTCCTCGAACGGTCCTGTATTGCACACATATGTGAGTTAAAAGCAGCGATGCACTTCATGTCATCATTTAATTGTGAGACAGATATTAAGTTGCAATTTAATTTTGGAACTAAAAGAACATTTTTAAGAATTATTTTGTCGGATAACCGAACTCTTCCTGAATGAGTTCCAATCACCCTTTTTCCATTTGGTAAACCCACAAGACGTCCTGGGATTCTTTCAATATCCCTCAGCCATGAAGCATCGCCTGTGACATGGTGCGTTGCACCAGAATCAATTATCCATAATCGTTTATAGAACTCACCATTGAGACGTTGATCTAGTATTTTTGCATTACCCATTAAGGTTGTCAAGGTTTTCCATTGTTCTGCAGTGAACAAAAGCGGAGAAGAAGGTTCCTTGCTACTGTCAACAGAAGCACCAACATGGTTAGAGCTGGTGGCATGAACTCAAGTCCCCCTGCCTCTGCCGGCTGTCCTTCCTCTACGGTTGCTAGAGTTGGATTTGCTCCTATCTTCCCACCAATCCGGATACCCCACGAGTTCGAAACAACTTGTAGCTTCATGCCCGGTTTTTTTGCAATGAGTACATGTTAGATGTGATTTATCAATTCGTTCACGAGTTCGTCCCTTTGCCTCGCTAGCACGAACTGAAAATCCCAACACTTCAGGGGGTTTTTCTTCTATCACACTCTTAGCTGTTCGAACTCTTTCATCTTGAACAACCAATTGGAAAGCTTTATCTAGCGAAGGAAGCGGGTCTTGGGAAAGGATACTTGTACAGAGAGCAGCAAAGTAATCAGAATTCAAGCCCATAAGAAATTTATGTAGCATGTCGTTATCCCTCCTTGTGGCATGGAGAGTTCCTGCTGTACAACTCTCACAACATGTACAACTTATGATAGGTTCGTGGTTGTGAAGTTCTTCCCACAAACCTGTCAATTTCCCAAAATATTCCGCCACAGTCATGTTCTTGGCCTGTTCGCATTTGGCTACAGCTGTCTTTAATTGTTGAATTCTAGGCCCATTTACAACAGCATACCGAGATTTCAATGTGTCCCATTTACATCCAGGATACCAACATCGCATTGATGGTGTCCCAATCTGCCTTTGTGCAAGGGGGTTCTGGACTTGTGATCGTTCCATCCAAAAATCCGTACTTTCGGCGTGCCTCCAATGCAGTACGAATGTCTCCGGCCCAATCGTCATAATTGTCACCACGCAATTTTGTTGGCGTGATAAAATCGCCTGGCCGATCTTGAGGTCCAAGATAAAAAGGTGAGTTGGCTTCAATCTTTGTCGGTGGCGGTGTTGCTCCGCTTGCTCCCCCCGTCATGTTTTAGGGTTTTAGGGTTTTTACAGCTCTGATATCATGAACAAATATGGCTCAAAAATCAATCGACTGATTCATTTAGTTTGTTTTGTATATATACATGATACAGTGAAGATAAACTCTAGAGCTAGCCTCTAACAGAATACAAATTCAAAATAAGAGATAAACTATGAGCCTAACTAGATAATATCAATACTAATTCTTGAAATCTTATCCTCGAGCCTTTACAGTTAAACAACGTATATAATTAATTTTTATGAAACTAGAATTAAAAGCCTATGACAAGAACCAAAATGAAATATGACTTATACATTTGCCGTTGACTAATAAAACCAAAAAATCGAATTGACATCAGACAAAAACCAGCTCTCTGTATATTGGTTATGCTATGGGTTATAGAGTTTTTAAAAAGGCAGTTATCGATTACGTGTTCTCAGTTCTAGAGTTTTCACAAAAATCAATTCTCCTGTATCACATCGAAAGCAAACCGGTCTATTTTATAAAAGAAATTCATATTTGAAACAACATATTGTTAATTATATTTATGTGTTGTTTATAAATCTAGAAAACCGTAAATTTATATTTAGTTCCCTAAATTTATATTTAGTTCAGTATCCAATATAGGATCTGAAACTACTTTATAACCGTTACCAGACAAATACCGGTCAAGTTTATATTGGTGTAGTTTTCGATCTTTTTGGCGCCATTTCACGTCAACGTTTTAAAAACAAGTTATCGTTTCTCCGGTATTGTTAACCACCAACTGCCACAAATAACCGTCACCGGAATTCCTATAAATACAACTTCCATTTCAATCGTCTCTCTTTGCACTCCCATTCTTTGAATCCGAAAAAGGCTACACATACACAGACAACAATGGCAGATGATGGCACCACCGCCCGTCAACAGGTTGACGCCGGTGGCCATGCAAACGCACGTCCAAACTCATCCACCCCTCCTCCATCTCCCTCCCAAACTCCAAGAAGACCACGCCGTGCCGGAGCCACTACACCGTCAAAGCTTTCCCCGGCGGCCTCTTCGTCAACAACTCATCCACCGCCACCAACACCAACACCGCCTACCCCTTCTGCCGACCGGATAATAATAGGCACTGCAAGAAAGTCGGTGATCTGCCCGATTTGCAAGAAAGATATGTACCATGAGAAGGCGTTGTGTGGCCACATCCGGTGGCACACACAGGAGGAGAGACTAGCGGCGAGTAGGGATATTGCCAGGGCGCTTTCTGCCAACTTTGTTTCTGGGCAACGCGGCGATGGAGAACAAGGGCCGTCTAAGCGGTTCAAACTCCCGGATCTTAACCACCCACCACCGCCGGAGGACGACGAGGGTGCCTGATCTGATCATGATTTACTTTTCGGGGGGCGTGCATGCATGCATGTGTGTGTAGCCTTTTTAAAATAATATTATATGCATGGGAGATGCATATGTAGTGTTTGTTTTTTATTATTAGTTTAATAATGTGGCCAAAACTCTATTATATATTATATTGTGTATATGATATATGATCTAGGCCATGTAATGCTACATCACATCAAGGATATTATTCCTTGAATTTGATTTATATATTTGTTTGCCATATATATGTTTTCGTCTTCTTCGATAGTACTGTTATTTCGTATATATATCGATTGTTTTAATGCAGGATTTTGACTAGGAAAATCAGAATGTGGAGAAGTTGATGATCATTTATCTTGAATACACTGGATAAGACAACTTGGATAGAAGAAGTGTAAGAAATTAACTTTAATTCCTCAGTTTTTAATTATTTGTTAATTGTCTTGAAATTTTTTCTGATAAGGATATTGTAGGCTTCTTATTAGCAAATATATTTTTTATTGATTTGTTGATTACAACATTTTATTTATATATTCTTATCAACTCATTGTTTTTTCTAAAATAATATCCGATTTAACATTGCTTTACAAAACAATCCTCACTTCTTTAATAAGATATATTTTTAAAATATATATAGTGTCTTTAAAAAAAGTACAATGCTATATAATATGGTAGATTTTCAAATAATTATATATGTTTTAAATAAGAAGAAACAATATTTAGAAACATTTGGATTGAATTTAGATTTAGTCGAAACATTATTTAAAGAGAAAATGTTAAAAACCCACAACACAATCGAAAAAGAAACATAATATTATTTTTGCGCCTACAAACACCTTTCCATTTCTAAAACATTTAATATACAAGAGGTTATTTTTAGTAAAATGTCTCTAATAAGTTGTGTTTTTTTTTTAATAAAAACATTTATTAAAAGCTAGGACTTTTCATATACATGAAATAATATTAGGCTTTAAATTGTCACAAATTTGATATAAGTTTGTTTTCAATAAACGAGAGAACTTTTTAGTATGTATTAATTATGAAAAGTCTCCAAAATTAATATAGTAATTTTCCCAATTATCAAACCATTATAAATTACATTTTTCGACATTTACCATTGAATAAGTAAACATTTTAATTTTTCGTCATTTTCCCTTAAATAAATAAACTAGGTTTAAAATTTCAAGATGTAATTTTGCTCTTCAAAAGTGTAGAATTTTTTAGCCCCGTAGTATTGAAATTTAAACTTTTTTACAAAAGGATCGCTTAAGGCTTTACAAAGATCCAATTCATTACTCAAGAGTGTTAAAATTACATTTTTGGTTCAATGTTTTAGCATAATTACATACGAGGGCCTAATCTTTTGCTGTTAATTATATGTGGCCCCATTAACTACTAGAGCTGCTAAAAGTTATGAATTAATATCATGAGATTTTGGTTACCTTGATATATGGTACGTGGCTTCTAAAACTTATGATTTCAACATTATTTGAAACACTAAACGCACATGCCGTTGTTGCATTTACGATATGGCGACCAAATAGAAATTCATGAGACATGAATGAGTTGTAATGTTGTTTTGATGTTGATTTAAATATGTGGTGTTTGACAAAACTAACTAGTATGTGTAGGGGTGGACGCAAGATTCAGTAGTAGGTGTTAATGTCGGTGTCACATTTTATAATAGAAAATTTTCAAAAAATTTAAACTGCATACAGAAAAAGCAGTGGTTGCCGCTGCCACTGTGTGCACCCAACGAGAACCGCCTTGAATATGTGGAAGTTTGTAGTTGCTAGCTGTAGATAGAAACTTAAAATTATAGTTTTTATTTATGCATAAGTGTTTGCAAAAAATAATCGTTAATTTTTAAATATATAAAATTAGTCTACAGGCTAAAAGCTAAAAATAATTATTCAATGTAGCTTTTGATTTAAGGCTTTTTGTTTGTGAATGTTGTGAAAGGAATTTTTTTCGAACTTTTTTTTTATAACTAAAGGTTAAAACCTCTCAAATTAACTACGCCAAAACATGCAAATATATACTTATGAAAGACTTGACGAGTCAATTGAGAATATGATCGATTGTGATGCTTTTAATAATGGTAATTAATGTAATTTGTAAACTACATATGTTTTACAACTAGGTTAAAAAATGTGAAATCGAGGGTGTTAATTTTAAATAAAATTAAAAAATTAATTATGTAATAAAATAATATATCATTCATTTAGAAAACTTATGAATTGATATATTGTATTTTTTAATAACTTTGTAATTTGTAAGTATTTAATTACACAGTAATTTGGTGAGATTAATAGAAATTGTTGTTGTATTCATCAATTTTTTTTCAAACTTTACATTGATTTACTACGTCATGTGCTTATTCTTTAGGTTTTCTCATCATAACCTTGAAATTCGTACAATGGTGGTGTTTTACTTAGGATATGTTCCCTATTTTTAGTAACTTTGTAAATTGTAAGTATTTAATTACAAATGTAAGTCCACCTATTTTATAAAAGTCATGACTTTATATAATGCAACATACGTTTGAGTAATGTCAAAAAAAACCCAAAAAAACATCGAAATTGATTTGATATAAAACAAACAAAACACATCGGTAATGAAATTAACATAAAAAAAATACAATAAGTAATTATAAATTAATTAATTAATATGACGGATGAAGTGTGATTTCCTAAAAATGACTAAAAGATGATACAAAAAAGTTGGTTATAAGTTGCGAAAAGTTCCTTATAAACAACATTGGAAGTTTTATTTGTGAGTCTACCATCTTTATTTTAAATTGATAATTTTATTCATCTCTGCTTTGAACTCAAGATAAGGCAACATACAATTGCCCATGTGAAAAAACTGGATATTTGATAAACAACCCAACATTCGATAATGATTGTCCTTGACTCTTATTAATAGTCATTGCAAAACATACGGCCAAATGAAACTGTCTTCTTGTAAATTTGAAGGGACTCAAAGAAGCATTAACAATGTTCTGTCTGCTGCCACCCGGAACAATAGGTAGAATCTGTCTGAAATCTCCTCCAAAGCATAGGCGGATCCACCTTGGAGCCCGGGGTAGCCCGGGATACCCCTAAAAAAATTTCAGTAGTATAATTTTTTTGGGTCTCTCCCCTACGACAGTGCGACTCATCACTCACCCATTGCTCCATTCACCATCGGAGATAAATACAAGGTAGGTCACAAATCGTCTACTAACTTGGGTGTTTGTTACTGATGTTGACTGTTGAGGTTCGATACATTCTTCTACCTCCTTCAGACTCTTTTTTGGAATCCAAATGGGTTTTAATGTTGTTGATTTTTGATGTTCGACTGTTTAATTTTTGTGGCTGATGTTAGACTCCCCCGATTTTTTGCTATTCTCCATAAAAAAGGAGAAACTTCAACTCTCAACATTCCAACGAGGTGAACAGTTGCAACCCAGAACTCCAACTCCATATATAGGTATGCATATTCTTGATTGAATTTCATTTACACATATATAGTGTTTGATTTGTTGAAATCATGTGCTTATCAATAAGCATTGCTCCTAAATTTCTCATGTAATTATCATTCAGCATACTTTCTGTTTTATATAGGAAATTTGTAAACGTAATTCATTTTTATAAATAGGATTTTCCATTTCGTTTAAACATATATAACTGCATCACCCCTACAGACTTGGTTTCTATAAGATTAATGTACTCCATTTTACATTTAAATTGGAATAAACCTTGAGTGGATTGGTTGTGTTAACCTTAGTCTTTGTAATAGAATGTGATTTTTCTCTAGTATATGCATTTTGGTGCTATGAACCTCTGTTGGGATCAATAAATCATGAAATTACAATTTTAAGAAATGTTATCACTTTACCTCTCTTAAATTATGTAAATATGAACCTGTGTTCTTCTGTAGAAACACCATACACAAGAAACAAAGCAAACAATGAAAGATAAGAACACAATGAAAAGGGTATTTTAGGAAACTCTTTCTGTTAGGTTTTTTATTCAACTCATAAAAAAAACATTGTAAACATCAAAGCAACTCCTATTTATACTAAAAGAAAGCTAACAAACTAAGTTTACTTGCTAACAAATTTGCAGGAAAAGATAATGACTCAAATTCAAAAAATGGATATTTAAAGTTTGAATTTTGTGGATTATTCCAACAAATTGGAACAAATCTTCAACGGATGGTTGTATTTAGCATACTTAATGATTGAGGCTTTCTATTTGCTTAACTTGTATTTAGCATACTTAATGATGGTTGTATTTAGCATACTTAAAGTTCTTTGCTTAGACTTCTATTTGCTTAACTTGTATAGCCCTTTCTCATATAGTCTAATGAAATTGCGGTTTTTATTTTTTTATATTGTATATTACACGAATTTTTTTAGGATACCCCTTTACTTTGACCCTGGCTCCGCCACTACTCCAAAGACAGTAACTTTCCCTCCAAAAGGAATATTTGAAATGGTAGAATTTTCACACCTTAATACATCTTTCAAAGTTCGATCTAAAGCTTCAAATGCATGCTTATGGACCATAGGTGCTTCATCCCTAATTATCAAAGAGGCTTTTCTTAATAAGCTAGCCAGCTCACCATCTGGATTTATTTTACAAACATAATCCTCAGTAAGTTCAAATGGAAGTATAAATCGAGAGTGTGTTGTTCTATCATCGGACAATAATAATGAAGCAATATCGTTTGAAGCAACATTTAAAACAATATGACCATCAGATCTAATTGCTGCAGATATTGTCTTCCTAGAAAAGTTTTACCCGTTCCACCATAACCATAAACAAAGAAGACACCTCCTTTATTTTCTTTAACAACACTCATGATGTCAAGGAAAATGTGACGTTGCTCTTTTGTTAATGCAAGAAACATACGATCAAACTCATTCTTTATAACAGGAATGTCGTAATCTAGCTCCTCGGTGATAAGTTGATTGTTTGAAGAAGAAACTAATTCAACGTCTGGGTAAGGCATCTTTGTAAACTTTTTGAGAGTGGAGTTGTTTCGAATTAAAATTTGTTCTATTTCGAACAAAGTTAAGTTCTTAAGTTCATCTTTAGTAAGTGATAAGTCTGCACCAGAATTTTAAATTAATTATAAAATATAAAATACAATATTTAATAATATTTTTAATTATTATTTAATGGGTGTTGAATAATAATAATAAATTATTTTAAATAAAAATGAAGAATTATTTTTAATACCTGGAGCTTTGAACCTTTGTCATTGGTTATATAGAATTCCATCCGCCAAATATTCCCCTGTATTTTCCCAAACGGCCTCTGGTTTAGACATACTGTTACACATCAATAATATAGCAAATAAGAAGCGTAGATAAAAACCAGATCCAGAATGGCTTGCTTCTTTAATTACATCGATGTATTCCTTGTCATCATCTAATAGTCCAAGTGCATAACAAGCATCTCTAAAAGAAGAATGTGTTTCACCATTTACCGTGCGAAGTTCATCAAACGACGTCGGACCTTTAACTTTATTTAGAAGAATCCTTAAGAAATAAGCTTCACCAAGATTAGGTGAAACCGAATGAGTTCTACCACTGACTTTTCATACTTTCCTTCGCTTCCAAAACCTACCATTTAATTTCCAAACAAACTTTGTAGGAAATTCAACGTATATAAGTTCTTGTGCTTCGCTATTAATTGAATTACACTCCATCCAAGATGTGAACTTTGAAGCAGCAATAGAAGATTTGTCCAAAACATCGTTAATATCATCGTCTTCGCCATATACAATCTGGTGTTGATTAGGAAGATGAAAAAGTAGTCTCACCACAGAAGGATATCTGTAATGAACATCATATTTAAAAATTTGCTATGATGATTCACATGCAGATAAATATCTACAATCGTAATATTCAGCTATTTCATCGACTGCATCATTATTTTCACATTCATTGTTGGTTCGTACAATAACAACTGTAGCTCTATCAGGACCCTTGTTTATGTATTTAAACAAATATTTTATAGAAGATCCCTGATTGCACCATTCAACATTAATATGTATGATATCTTTTCAATAGATATTTGTTGTAGGGGACAACATTTCTATTATCCAACTTGACACCCGATTTTTCTAGAAAATGACCATCATTTATTCTCCTATATAACGGAAAACTATTTTGATCAATAGAGGTATGATTACAAAATTGTTTTGGAAAGTTTTTAGAGCACTTTTTCTCCACCATGCATGGACAATTGATATTTTCAGCTCCACATGGACCATGAATCATGAACTTATTGACAAGTGAATACAATTCTGGATCTTCAATTTTGTCTCGTATCTCGGCGGAAATTATCGGATCAATAAATTCAACAGTGGGTAGCTTGTAATCAGAATGCATAAATAGACATATATGACTATGTGGCAAACCTCTTTTTTGAAATTTAATGGTATAAACATCTACAAAATATTTTGCAAATAAAAAAATATGATTAGACTTTCAAAACATATAAAAATATAGTATAATAAGAGTAATGTTTTATCAATAATGAAAAAACATAATTTTAATTACATGCTTGAACTTTACCGAAAATGTGATTCTCCCTTAAGTCTTTAATAAATGCATCAAGCTTGATCTTGAACAACCTACATAGTATATCAGACCTGTCTTTTGGTTGAAGTGAAGTATCCTTAAGAAACCTTTTAATTTATGGCCATTTGGGATTACACGTAAATGTTATGAAGAAACCCGGATATCCAAACCATTTACATAGTGACATGGCATCCAAATAGTTTTGCAGCATATAACGTGCCCCACCAGAAAAGGAAGAAGGTAATGTGACACGGTGGCCGACTGTGGAGATATTAGTGGATTAGCAGGGTATTATCAGAGATTTATTCAGGACTTCTCCAAGATTGCAGTACCCCTCACTCGTCTGATGAACAAGGGTTATTGATTATGCTTCCCGGCAGATGAAGCTGCATGAGGTTCATTATCCGACCCATGATTTGGAGTTGGGATCAATGGTGTTTTCTCTTAAGATTTGGCGGCACTATCTGTATGGGGTCCGGTGTACTATCTACACGGATCACCAGAGTTTGAGATATCTCATGGACCAGCCGAATCTGAACATGAGGCATCACAGGTGGCTAGACATGGTTAAGGATTATGACTGTGAGATTCTGTACCACCCAGGGAAAGCAAATGTGGCCGCTGATGCTTTGAGATACAAGATGGATAGTTCTACTGTTGGGAGCCTTTGTATGAGGATTTCGATTGATTCTCTATTGTCGGGTATGATTAAAGAGGCTCAGACTGTGGGAGTCAAGAAAGAAAACTGAAAACGAGAGCGACTCAGAAGTGCGATTGACAAGTTTTCTACCGATAGTCGTGGATTATTGACCCGATATGGTCATGTTTGGGTACCAGATTTTGGTGGGGTCAGACAGGTTGTGCTGGAGGATGCACACAAGTCCATGTTTTCGATACACCCGGGAGCCACCAAGATGTATCGAGACTTGAGGCTTAGTTATTGGTGGTCTTGCATGAAGTGGGAGATAGCCTGGTATGTCGAGCGGTTTTTGACATGTCAGATGGTCAAAGCCGAGCACCAGAGGCTGCATGGAAAGCTTCAACCTTTGGAAGTTCCCATGTGGAAATGGGAACAAATCACCATGGATTTCATCACCACATTACCTCGGACGGACAAAGGATTTGACGCGATATGGGTTATAGTAGACCGTTTGACCAAGATTGCCCACTTCTTAGCCATCCGGGAAAGCTCATCGGCCGAGAAATTGGCCGATGTTTATGTGTGTGAGATCGTCGCCCGTCATGGTGTTCTAGTCTCCATTGTATCTGATCGAGATGTTCGATTCACATCTCGTTTTTGGCAGAAGTTCCACGAGGAACTGGGTACTAGGTTGTATTTTAGCACTGCTTATCAGCCGCGGACTGACGGCCAGAGTGAGAGGACCATTCAGACACTTGAGGATATGTTGAGAGCTTGTGTCACAGATTTCAGTGGGATTTGGGACTCCTACCTTCCTCTGGCGGAGTTTTCTTACATCAACAACTATCACTCCAGTATCGGTGCGCTGGCGTTTGAGCTTCTCTTTGAGAGGAAGTGTCATACCCCTGTCTGCTAGGGAGAGGTTGGTCATAGGGTTATGGGAAGGATTGAAGTAGTCCTTCAAATGACAGAGCTTATTCAGCAGAACAGGCGGAGGCTGCAGACAGCTTAGAGTCGGCAGAAGAGTTATGCCGACAAGCGTCGATCTGAGCTAGAGTTCCAAGTTGGCGACATGGTTTTGCTGAAGGTATCACCCTGGAATGGTGTAATACGCTTCAGGAAGAGGAGAAAGTTGGGTCCCCGGTATATTGGGTCATTTCGAGTGATTGCTAGGGTTGGCAAGGTAGCTTACAAGCTGGATTTGCATGAGGAGCTCAGTCAGATTCACAACACCTTTCACGTTTCGTAGCTTTGGAAGTGTGTGGCTTATGAATCAGTGGTTGTTCATTTGGATGATGTTCAGGTTGATGATCGTCTGAATTATACTGAGAGACCAGTGACGATCTTGGATCAGAAGATGAAGGTCTTGCGCAACAAGGTGTTGTCCTTGGTAAAGGTTCAGTGGCAGCATCAGAAGGGTTCCGAGTGGACTTGGGAACCTGAGGCGGAGATGCGGGAGCATTACCCTGATTTGTTAACATCAGTGGACTTCAAGGACAAAGTCTAGTTCAAATGGGGGAGAATTGTAACATCCGGTCTAGATATAAATCAACTTTTATGTAAAAATCTTAATTGGAGTGACTACGGCGTGGTGGAGCATCACCACAACGTGGCGGAGCATTTTGTAATCGCGGGTGTTAAATGACCAACACGACGTGGTGGCCTGTAACCACGGCGTGGTGGAGTTTTAATGAGAAACCCTAATCTCCGGGGTTTACGCCCATATTTAAGGGAATGTGATGGCTAGGGTTGCTCACCCTCAGCCTCCATCACACTCTCTCAGCTCTCAAGAAACCCTAGCCTCTAACTTGCCTTTTTGAGCCTTTGGTGTTGATTTTTAGGCATTATAAGAAGAAGAAGGTGACGTTTGGGCTTAGATTCAGCAAGGAACTTTTCTCACCTTCTTGTTGTGCATCTTCTGGACTTTGGTAAGTCCTCAAGTTCCATGTGCATAGATCAAGGTTTCTAAGCCTTTTTATTCATGTTGGGACTTATTGGAGTGTTGGTTTCCCATAAAGGTGCCACCTTTATGGATCCCCAGAATCCCTTTGTGGTTAAGAGTGTTGGATCTGGAATTTCTTAGAGTTTTGAACTCTTGAGTGTGATCTTGGCCCTTTGTTATTCTATCTTGACCTAGTTTGAGATCAAGACATGCATTGCACATGCATGTCTATAAAAAACCATTTTTATGGTTCATTGGATGAGAGAATGCCTTATGGGAAGTTTGAATGGTTGGCTTGATAGATTAAGAGCTTATTGGAATAAGTTGGTCTGGGCAGTCACCACATCGTGGTGAATGGTTACCACGACATGGTGGATGGCTGCCATGCGACTATTCTGTCTTCTAGTCACCACGGCGTGGTTGGAGCTAACCACGACGTGGCGACTGACTAAGTTGACTTGTTAACTTTGACCTTGACCAAGGTTTGACCAAGTTTTACCTAAGGGTATTTTGGGTATTTTGAGTGTTATTTGATGTTGGTCATTTCTTGATGAATATGTGACCGTTTGAGCTGACATTCGGAGTTGTACCCTATTCAGAGAACTTTTTCAGAATGAGAGGTGAGTCTTCCTCACTGTACTTGCGGGTCGAAGGCACCAATGTCAGTCCACTGAGTTATGTACCTGGTTTAAGGAGTATTGCTACTGATCTGTTAGAACTGAGTCCTGGTATAGGGGATGATATTATGCGATAATGATCAATAGATATGAATGTGAGTCTGTTTTCTGGCTATATGATTATCTGTCTGTTAAATATATGTTATATGTTATATGTCAACATAGTATAGTTGGGTTGAGATTGTACTGCTTCGTGCGGACAGTCAACGAACTCGGGACAATCCAACCGGGAGGTTGTAGGCCAGGGCAATCCAACCGGGAGGTTGTGGGCCAAGGTCAGCCAACCGGGAGGTTGTGGACCCAACATGCATTTTGTATATATGTTTGGTTGTACTATGTGGTACTTTGGGGGAACTCATTAAGCTTTGGCTTACAATTTCAGTTTTATGTTTCAGGTACTTTAGATGACCGGGGCAAGGCGAATGCGTGATCGTACACATCCTTCAACGATATGTTTGGGAAATTTTATGATACATTGATCTTGGGGATATTTGTATTTGATACTTGATTTGATATGGTTTTGGTTGAAAACAATGGTTCTTTTTAATTTAAAAATGAAAAATTTTATCGTGATTTTTGGAATGTTACATGGTAATTGTATTGGTCATGAAATATAGGCAAGAGCGTGCTTCTCTATGGTGCGTTATGATATAATGACATCTGATAGTAATGTATTATGTCTCTAAAGGAAAACTACCAATAATGATGTTAATTGATTTTTTTTGCTCCATGATGCAAAAATAAATGTTTCAAACGTTTATACGTTGAACAAATTTATAAAAGATGCTTATTATTTTTTCATATTTTGAAGTGATTGTTAAACATGATATCACCCTTGGAAAGAGATGAAGTTAAAAGAAGAATGTTTGGAAGTGAGACATATAATGTATATCTCGTTTTATAATTGAAAAATGAAGTACGTGACAATGGAATGAATGCCACCATTAATATATAAGAAAAAACTTGTGCATATAAGCAGTGACAATGCTCTAGTTTACCGTGTGGTCATGTAATGATTTCATGTTAATACTTAGGTTAGTCACACTAGCATGTTTAGCTTGTGACATGGTTCTCCATAGAGCGTTTCCAAGTTGTGTACCAGGAGAAGAGCATCATTTATCATCCCCTCTAAATGGTAACATTCCGACAAAGTAATGATCGTTATACCACCGCTGAGAAACAAACATCAAGGATGCCACCATAAAGAGTACGATCATCCCAATGAGATGGATCCATTATAAAACAATGCAATAGATGCCAAAAGAAAAGATACAATGTCCTTAATTTTCTATGTATGTTACCGGTAGATACTTCAAAGTTGGGAGCCTCAAGTAGCGATAGGCCTCCTAATAATTGCTCATAAAGTTACACCTATTTTCCTATGTTTGATTTGATTTCAATGAATAAATAAACCCTCACAAACTTACTCATTGTTCAGATTGCTCTTTATATGGAATCATATTCTATGTTTAGCTAACTGCCAAACCCCATCAATGGAGTCTAATGGTTGAGGTACGGAATTTCATATAGTTCAAACCATGACATGCAC